GGAAGCACCGGGTCACTCGGTGCTGGGAGCACTGGGCTGCCCATACTGGGAAGCACTGTGTCCCTGTGCCCCATACTGGGAGCACTGGGCTGCTCCATACTGGGAAGCACTGTGTCCCTGTGTCCCATACTGGAAGCACTGGGTCGCCCCATACTGGGGGCACTGGGTCGCCCCATAATGGGGGCACTGTGTCCCTGTTCCCTATACTGGGAGCACTGGGTCGCCCCATAATGGGAAGAACTGTGTCCCTGTTCCCTATACTGGGAGCACTGGGTTGCCCCATACTGGCGGCACTGGGTCACCCCATACTGGGAGCACTGGGCTGCCCCATACTGGGAAGCACTGTGTCCCTGAGCCCCACACTGGGAAGCACTGGGTCGCCCCATAATGGGAAGCACTGTGTCCCTGTGCCCATACTGGGAGCACTGGGCTGCCCATACTGGGAAGCAGTGTGTCCCTGTGCCCATACTTGGAGCACTGGGTCACTCTATACTGGGAGCACTGGGTTGCCCCATACTGGGAAGCAGTGTGTCCCTGTGCCCATACTGGGAGCACTGGGCTGCCCCATAATGGGAAACACTGTGTCCCTGCTCCCTATACTGGGAGCACTGACCTGTCCTATACTGGGAGCACTGGGAGCCTGCGGTCATACTGGGAAGCACCGGGTCACTCGGTGCTGGGAGCACTGGGCTGCCCATACTGGGAAGCACTGTGTCCCTGTGTCCCATACTGGGAGCACTGGGTCGCCCCATAATGGGAAGCACTGTGTCCCTGTTCCCTATACTGGGAGCACTGGGTCGCCCCATACTGGGAAGCAGTGTGTCCCTGTTCCCTATACTGGGAGGGCTGGGTTGCCCCATACTGGGAGCACTGGGCTGCCCATACTGGGAAGCACTGTGTCCCTGAGCCCATACTGGGAGCACTGGGTTGCCCCATACTGGGGGCACTGGGTTGCCCCATAATGGGAAGAACTGTGTCCCTATTCCCTATACTGGGAGCACTGGGTCACCCCATACTGGGGGCACTGGGTTGCCCCATACTGGGAGCACTGGGTCACCTCATACTGGGGGCACTGGGCTGCTCCATACTGGGAAGCAGTGTGTCCCTGAGCCCCATACTGGGAAGCACTGCGTCGCCCCATAATGGGAAGCACTGTGTCCCTGTTCCCTATACTGGGAGTACTGGGCTGGCCCATACTGGGAAGCACTGTGCCCCTGTGCCCATACTGGGAGCACTGGGTCACCCCATACTGGGAAGCAGTGTGTCCCTGAGCCCATACTGGGAGCACTGGGTCACCCCATACTGGGAGCACTGGGTCCCTGAGCCCATACTGGGAGCACTGGGTCGCCCCATACTGGGAGCACTGTGTCCCTGTGCCCAAACTGGGAGCACTGGTCACGAATCCACGAGGGAAATGGCAACTGAGGTTCGTCCCGGAGCGACTCCCCCCCACAGCAGGGCTCCTCTGAAGCCCACGCGGCAGCGCAGCCCGCGGGCACCTTGTCCAGCTCCTCCTCCGACGCTTCGGGGAACTTCTCAGCCAGGGACGCCCGCAGGGTTTTGGCCACGTAGCGCATCCCGTAGCTGGACGGAGCACAGGAGGGGGAGGGCGCGGTGAGGAGCCGGGTGCCAAAGCCACCGCGGTGCCGCCGGGGTCCCTCGGGAATCCCCATCCCCCGAGCCTTCCTCCTGCCCCCCTTCTTCCTCGCCGGCGCACCCCGAGAGCGCAGCGCTGGGTTCGGAAGCCAGAAGCGCTTCTGGGCCGTTAGCGGAGGAGCCGACGCCGCTTCTCTCCTTGCCACAGCAAAGAAAGGGGTGGAAACGTGGAACCCCCCCTGCGCACCCCCTGCCCTCCCGGGACCCCACGCGGGCGAAGCTGGGGGAACGCACGGGATTTGGTCCACAGACGAGGTGATGGCGGAGACGAACTTCTCCGTGACGGTGAGCAGAGCGCGGATGGAGGCGTCGAGGCGCCGCTGGACCTCGGGGTGGCAGAGGGCTTGCTCGGGGCTCACCTCGTATGGGAGCCCGCTGCGCGAGGAGAACGAGTGCCCACCATCAGCTCAGCCCCCACCCCACCTCACCGCCCCGAAATTGGGCTGAGCCCCCCCTCCAACCTCAGCACCCTGGAACCCTGGCACCACCTGAGCTCCCCATACAACCTCAGCACCCCAAAACTGAGCTGAGACCCCACCCAATATCAAAACCGGGCTGAGCCCCTCACCC